GACAAAATTATTACTTCTGATACATGAAATGCATATATATATAATATATATATAAATTACCACATTAAAACAGAATTATTCGTTCTTAGTCATTTATTTCTGGTCCTAACAATATATCTGTTAATTGATGTATTAACTAACACAATGTAAATTTAAAATACCGTCTGACTAAAATTACAATAGTTGTTATTTAAAGTTAAATAACTTGCATTATAATTCAAAGAATCAACAATAATAAAAGATGAATAGTTTTAAATTTCTTAATTCTCTTGGTTGGATAATTTATAAAATATAATACAGTTCCAAGATATACTTTTTTTTGACAAATTGATATCAATAATAAGAGTACTGAATAGTTGTTTCGTCCTTATTTGAAGTTCATCAACAACTATCATTCACAGCTTTATTCGTGAAGAAATGCAAGACGAGATAATCGTCTTCGATTGTTGGTTTTCAATGATTATCTTGTAGTGAATGAGAACACAAGTGGGGACAATCGTGTGTGTCTGAACACAAAATTACAGAACGTCTTAGCAAAATCTGAGAACCAAACACTAAATACTTCATTTGGAAAATGTCAATCAATCGTCCCAAACTTCATTGTTCTTTCGTCTCCACGCCAATCATTCTCTGTTCTCGTTCTCTTTCCTTCGTTTTTTTAATCTTCTGCCGCCAGACGTCTCACTTTCGATTAATGATATATACTACTTATATCTGTAGACATCAGTGCACACACCACAATCTTTTTGATAATGACAAAGACACAACCATCCTTATATTTTTTATTTAAAGCTAAACCTTTGTATTCCTAATTAATTTAACCTGATTACCATTCAACTACTTACTTAAATGATAGGTCAGATGAGATCACTTTGGATACCTTAACATTTTCAATGACCACCAAATTTTTGCTATTAACGATTATTTTGTTGATTTACGTGGTTATTTTTGATAAACGATACATGAAGTTCATCGATTACCCTTTCAACCTGAATAATAGTGAAGATAATATTTTGTACATGACTTCAAAGCTCGTTTCATTAATCCCTAGGTTCTTATATATTTTATGAAACACTATACTTATTAAATGTAGGAGTGTGAGTTAGCTCGCTGTTGATACTAAGAATTAAATTTATTCAGTCTCTAATAGACTATCTGCAATCAAAGCAAATTACTTCGATATTGTCCTTGATTAAAAGTTTTATTAAAACTAGATTTTGGTAAGTAGTGAAACTCAGGACTTGTATTTCATCCTATTTGGGACTTATCATTGTGTTCTGAATTCCACTATTAACCATAATCTAATTTTACTAAAACCGTGCTTCTAAGAATACATCTTCAAAATTTCAGTATACAATGAACATCAAGAGCTGTTTACACGATACTGTTCTACACAGTAAAAGTCTGAGTTACGGTACATCATTTATTTGTATATCTAAACGAATTGTATATTTTGTGATCTATTTATTTCTGAAAGATATACATTTTACTCATTAATCACAGTAACAGTGAGACGAAATATTTACTAAACTATTTTTAATTTTCATTAGATATCTGTAACTAATATGCAAGAGTTCTTAACTAAATGAATAGAGACGAACTAATATAATTTACGTGGTAAAATATATTTAAAATTTATTAAAATGTATGTAGGTACTTAGAAGGTGATCTTACTTATGACAATCAACAAACTGTTTGATGAATTTCAGAATAAATCTTAATCTTTACATAGTTAGTTATATAATATACCCTTGTGGGCCAGGGCAATTTTACATTGGTTTTCAGGAGAACCAGACACCATCCAGACCTTTACAAGACAACCCAAACAGTGTAGCTCAACCCCGTTTAACAGGAGAGCCAGACACCGCCCAATCTTAAATTTTGTAACCCGAGCAGTACAGCTCAGTTCCGCTTCACATGAGAACCAGACACCGTATAAGCCTTAACGCTACAACCTGAATAGTACAGCTCAATTCTGTGGCGCAACCACACAGGTACCAAGCACCCTGTTGGACCATTCGCACCATTCATATACACATTCACGTCACATGTATAGTTATTCTGATCAATAATCGCGCGAATCAATTATGCACGGCACGAACAAGCCATAATTGACCTACACGACAGTCAAACTCATTAGTGTTAGCAATGGCGACATGCCTTATAATGTCCCAATGACAATGGCCCTCGAGAACACTGTAAAGCAACCACCAGTATGAATGAAATCAGTCAACCATTAAACCAATTTTGTGCATGAACAGTCAGCAAAACTTGCCAAAGTAATACCGAACCATCCACAATACCAATGGGAAATCTCCAGTCTCATATGAGACCTTCAGCTCTACATAACCATATAGTTTATATCTTATATCTTATTAACTTTTGCATTTTAAGAATCTCATTGAATACTGATTCTATTATAAGTTTTATCTCTATTCTTCGAGTAAATTAATAACGTTAGATCAATTAAATAGGACTATATGTACTTATTTTTCTGTTTTCAAATAGTTAAACACCTTTCAATGTGTATTACACACAACTTTTGCCTGAAGTTTAAGATTTCATTAATACTTGCATGGTAAGAAAGTATATTGAAAAAAAACTCGTGTTACATAATGATGTTTATACTAAGAACACATGTCAAAGTTTCTTCTCCATTCAGTCTTCAGTAAAAGTGTTTTTCAGAAGTTCTGTGCATTATCGTTGTACTAATCATACTATTCACTTAATGTTCACCAAAAAAAGATTATAACTGTTTTAACTATGAATTATATTAAATAAAGTAAAAACCTTAAAAATAGAACAAATACATTTCTTAAGTTTTCAGTGGATATATTACTGAAATCACTTTGTTGTACATCAAATATCTTATGTTGTAACATTATTGTCATATGTTGTATGTAAACAATTTTAGTACATTAATTTATATAAACCCCATGTTCCAAGCTGTGAGTGCGAATATGTTTTGTTTGTTTAAATTCTAGTCTAGTTTATATCGAATTAGATTTGCGATGATGAAATAACTTCAGTAACTGGAAATTAAACTGTATATTTCATTCCCAGACAGTGTGAATGGAACATTGAAGTAGGTCCTCCAACTCTAGCTGAAGTTCAAAAGGCTATAGCTAATCTGAAACGAGGAAGGGCAGCTGGTCCAGATGGATTGGCCCCAGAGGTCTTTAAGGATGGTGGTCTAGTTTTAGCGACTAGGTTGACTAATATTTTAGCTAAAATCTGGGAGTTAGACGTTATCCCATCTAACTGGTCACAATCACTTATCGTCCCAATATTTAAGAAAGGGTCAAAATCATCCTGTGACAACCACAGAGGGATTAGTTTGACTAATATAGTATCTAAAATACTAGCTTCGATAATTATCGGACGCCTAACTAAGACTCGTGAACTGCAAACACGTGAAAATCAGGCTGGCTTCAGACCTGGTCGTGGCTGCATCGACCACATATTCACCATTCGTCAGGTTCTAGAACACAGGCATACTTACCGGCGTCCGACAATGGTGGTATTCCTTGACTTAAAAGCAGCGTTTGACTCTGTTGACCGAGAGGTTCTGTGGCAGTGTCTGTCATTGAAAGACGTACCTCAGAAGTACATAAACCTTGTGAAAGCTTTTTACTCGAACACTACTAGTCGGGTCAGAGCCTACGGCGAACTGTCATCCGCTTTTGCAACCTCAAGTGGGGTCCGTCAAGGCTGTCCACTTTCTCCTTTTTTGTTCAACTTTATCATACATCTACTGATGGAAATAACGCTCTCATCGACTGAATTCTCAGGTATTGGTCTCCTACCAGGAGGTCCACTTATTGACTTAGAATACGCAGATGACATAGTCCTGTTTGGTGAAGACGCTGATGAAATGCAGAGTCTTTTGGTAGCACTGAGCAACAATGACAGAATGTTTGGAATGCGCTTCTCTCCCTCTAAATGCAAGTTGTTGCTTCAGGACTGGTCTGCATCAACACCTGAACTAAGGATAGGGAGTGAAGTAGTCGAACGCGTTGACAACTTCACTTATCTTGGAAGTCTGATCAGCCCTAATGGGTTGGTGTGTGACGAAATCTCAGCACGGATTCGAAAAGCTCGTTTAGCCTTTGCCAACTTACGTCATCTATGGCGCAGGCGAGATATCCGTCTATCAATTAAGGGACGAGTATACTGCACGGCGGTTCGTTCCGTTCTACTATACGGCTGCGAAACATGGCCTTTGAGAGTAGAAGATATTCGTAAGTTACTAGTATTTGACCACAGATGCCTTAGAAATATTGCGGGTATCTGCTGGGATCACCGGGTAAGTAATAGTGAGGTTAGACGCAGGGTACTAGGGAATGATGGTAAATCAGTTGATGAGGTTATGAATCTTCATCGACTGAGATGGTTAGGCCACGTTCTGCGTATGTCTGAACACCGATTACCACGACGCGCAATGCTGACTAGTGTAGGGGATAATTGGAAAAAAGTTAGGGGCGGCCCAACCAAAACGTGGCATCAGTGCTTGAAGTCACTAACTTCTGGTCTGAGCCATGTTGGAAGATTCAGACTGCCTGGTTGGGGTCCGCGTGACTATCGTAACCAATGGTTGGAGACTATTGGTGACATGGCTCAGAATCGATCACAATGGCGTAGGTGTATACACTCTCTGTCTTCCTTAAATTTAGAGATTAAAATCGCTTCATATCTTTCTAGGAACTAATTCTTTCTTCCTGTACTATCTCCTTATACAAACTCTTTCTTCTATATATTACCACCACTGAATTAACTACTCCTATCAATCCGGTGTTCATCTTGTTGTGCTAATGCGGTGTTGCAACTTGGACCGATGCATACACGTGCCTGGTCCTACGTTGCAGCTGACTGACTGACTATAATAAGATGAGTATAGCTATACACAACCTAGTTACTGAATATTTATACTCGTAATTTCTTCTTCACTAGGATATAACAAAGTTTATTCAGTAATACAATACATCATACATAATTCACGATTAAAACAAGTTTTCGAAACATACGTATTCCATCAGTGTTGTTGTTTCGGAAGACCGTTGTTTGACCAAAGACAAACGTAAACCAATATTACAATACAATCGGATATTTTCAGCTTCCAGTATTTTTTGTAGATCTCTTTTGGTTCGTCTGCTTAAATGAATTACTGGCCATAGTGAGCAACCAGCTGTACAACAACAACACAATAACCCACAAATAAACCATCTAACATGACTAGGTAGTGAATTCTCCAAGCGCTCATTAATTTTACGTATACTTTCCTCAAATTCTTCAGGAGCTAGTTTACCATGTAATTCATTAGGGAATTCTTCCTTGAATTTATTGTTCATACCAAAGCTAACATTATTTTAATTAAAGAAAGTGAAATGCATGATATAATTTTATATGTGAATGTTATGAGTAAGTAAATTAACATGGGTTTATCAAGAAACTAATTCTTTCTTCCTGTACTATCTCCTTATACAAACTCTTTCTTCTATATATTACCACCACTGAATTAACTACTCCTATCAATCCGGTGTTCATCTTGTTGTGCTAATGCGGTGTTGCAACTTGGACCGATGCATATACGTGCCTGGTCCTACGTTGCAGCTGACTGACTGACTGACTGACTGACTGAACATTCTTGATCGTGATATTCAAAAGCATTTTTTAAAAACATAACACAATCTTGATAGTAGCAGTAGCAAGTCAATAGTTTCGTTTTAACTATATAAAAGGATATATATAAAAAGAGTTCGATGTGAACCAACTTTGATCAATCTAATCAAAGCGGTTCACTGCATTTATTTTGGAATGACTTAAGAAATCACTTTACAGATAACTCAGTTATACAGCTGCAAAATTAGAGACATTAGTAGAATTATTTTACATAACTAAATGGTTGTATAACATTTATTGGCGGAAAGTATTTGGGACTCATTGTGTACGCAAAATAAGTTACATTTACCAGTAAGTAAAAGTAGTTTACAGCCTTTATGAAGGTGTAATGAAGTCAAAAACAAATTTGTTTCGTTTTAGTTAAAGACTATTGAACACTGACAAATTGTGATATATTTCTTTTAAAAAAGAAAAATATTTCAATTTTCATTTATATCAAATAGTTCTAAGAGTTTTATTATGATTTTATGTTACAACGAATGCACTCATATGAATTCATATCAACCGATTTCTTTTTGTATTATTTAACCATTTACTAGAATTTCCACTCACTCAAAGTATATTTCCAATTGTAATTTGCAGAGCTATCATATTACTTTATATTATTTACATTGAATGAACTTTAATGTGATATATCCCTTCGAGTCATAGAGAATAATTCCAGCTAAATGAAACTATTTTTATTCAATCATACGATAAGTTAACAAAGTGAGTAACTTATTTATTTTTGTGATGCAAAGATAACAATTCTGGTCCTATCAAAGTGTCCCTGTTTAAATTTCATTTTCTAATAGGACACAACCTATTCATATTTCATTTATTTGAGGAACTAGTATGGAAGTTGTAGGGACTGTGGAATTTTGTTCAGATCACGAGTTAATCTAAGTTAGACAACCTTTAAAAATCTAAAAGCATGGTCATTTCACATTGGTGTTGAGTAGCATGAAAGTCTAACTTTCGTTAATGACCGATACTGTATGACCACCTATTGTCTTTGATAGGTACATTCCCCACCCCGAACATGGCGTAACTCCACTGATCATAGCTTTTAACATTTCCAAAAATTTCTTGAAGATTATCAGTATTTTATTGGAATCCTTGATTGAACTTTCAGGAATACTCTGAATAAAATTTTTTAACTTTACTGTACCACTTTTCATTTTCATCAATAAAAAACGTTTATAACCAATCACATTTTTTACAGTTCCTTGTTGACTCCGTTTGTATTTATTTTTGTTGCTGTAATTTGCAATAATTAACTGAAGAATAAGATTCAATTCATTAACAATATATAAGTTATATTATTTTTACAGGTTTTGGTATCATCATTATCAACCGCTTTTTTATTTATCTATTACATATACCAGCTTAGAATATATACAATGAAAGAGGAAAGAGAAAGATACATATTCGATTAAAAGTGTATTAGTTTGATATTTATTTTGAAGTGATCAATTTACAAATGTTTTGTGCAGTTTGAACTAATGGATGAATGAAAATCAGAAATTTTTACCTTCAATTGTTATAGTGATTGGTATAGAAAGGCACATAAGTAACTTTTAGGATCCTCAAAGCTGAACGCGAGACAACTAGGAAAATAGATATTTAATACTTAACGCGGAGAAAATCCCAACGATGAAGAAGGCGGGAAGAATGAATTGAGTTAATTCTAATTGATCGGACGGCATGGCTCGGCCTTGCAGGCTTGGTCACTCTTGAGTGTCGTAACATAATCTTTTATATTAAATATATTGTCCTATCTTCAGCCTAAGTTTGTTCTCCATCATATATAAGTGATTGTCACGATGCGATGAGTTGGTATAGAAAATGATGTGACTTCCACGTAAGATCTTATAGATTAGGCAGTTACACCATGACAAATCCACAATTTTATGACCAGGTCAATGGTTAGAGCAGTACTAATACCATAGTAAACCATAATTCTACAAGCCAACGTTTGTCCAATGAAGTGAACACTCTTGCCTTCATAGCTTCATTTCCTCACTGACTGTCCGCAGTAACCAGTGTATTAGATGTATGTATACGCATATTTTGTTATCATAACCATGCGATAAAACTGGAATAATGTCATGGGCCAAAATGAGACATGTATATATGGGAAATAAAGGTCAACAAGGTTAACAGAAAACATGGAAACTACGTGGAAAAAAATTGAAATCACAATGCTCTTGTTTAGTTTTTAAAAACAGTGATATTCCTTCTGTTTACCATTGGGATTTCTAAACACTTATCAACGTTCGCTTTGTTATATCCGGATGACACCAATATATAATGTGCAGTAGCATGGATTCCTTACCCCAAGGTTCTTTACCAGGGTTGAATTTGCTACACTACTGGTCCACTGTCTACAACATTCAAGATTTCACAGAAACGTGGTTAGTTACCACTCGATTGCAAAAACGTAGGATTAAGACGACTTGAATCATATTACGGACCAATAAGCCTCACCGATTAAATGGATAAAATATTGGAAAATTCATCGTGCACACTATTGAGACCTTCGTCAAAACCAACAGTTTGTCAAACAGCAGGCAACATGATTTATGAAAGGGATTATCACACAACACTCATCTGTGGTATTTGAATGAACTAATGATTCCTTTGTATTGTTGAATGCTTGATTTCCAATTCCAAATGAAGTAAGTTCATTCGTGCTTATATAATACTTTTTGGTCCAATCGCGTTATCTCTGGGATTCTTAGTTAATAATATAATTCAAATACTCCTAATTACTGTAAGATCCATTTTGAGTGTTTTGTGTGTGAAAATCCCTGCATGTATACACTTGCAGTTTATTCTTATTGATACCTTTGGTTGTACATTTTTGTTAGTCTTTTTCTTTCCATTGGAGTTGATAGCAATTGTATTTTATTATAGTTTTTATTTTTCTTACGCTTTCACTAAGTTTCCGTGTTTCTTCCTGAACTGCATTTATGTTGTTTTACTTGATACTTATTCTTGGCGGCAGTCATATTGGTTTGTTCCTCCCTTTGATTGTGTTGCGTGCATTGACTGGAATTGTGCATTTTTGATTGTGAATTGAAGCACTTGTAGCGTGGTGTCGAGTTGAGCTTGACTATGAACACCGCTACAAGACTACGTGCCAATTAACCAATAAGATCTCCGTAGGCCAATATCAGAAGACAGATGATGGCTGTAGTCGAGATGTATTTGTTGGCGATCTCGTGGTATCGAAAGAATACCGAGATCGTACCAAAGGAGTACAAGCGTGGTTACTGAGCGTAACCGAATTCGTACAAGTTCAAAGTCAACGGGAGAGTAAGTAAGTATAATGGCTGCCATTAGCACAGTTAAACAAGCGAGCACAGTAAAACAGTCACTGGTACAATTGTTTATAATAATAATTGTTTTCATTGAACCAATCGCGTTCTGTTGACAAAAGTAGTTCACTACACACTCTTACAGAATTGAAAACACCTGGTTTTATAAAGCAACCAAACATTTTCTTTTGAAGGAATCTGTGCGTGATCTATCCAGACAGGATTGAACAACATTTATTTGTTGTGATTGGTAATTTTCTAGCATCCTTTTTCAACTTTCTTATTTATTGTAATTTAGATTTGATTAATTGAACTATTTTTGGTTGTATAGCTGAGTGGTTATATTTGTTTAGGTAACGATGTACATTTAATTTGATGATGAATTATAAAACCATCATTTTACCCGATTGCTTTGTTTTGGTTTGAAACGGGCAAGAACGCGTATCTAACCCACCTATACAGCTATTCTTCAATCCAAACTCTAGTTTGGATCTTACAGTTCTAAACAAATATCGAATGGTCGAAGTTGTTTGTCTATTGTTTCGCGGATTTCAATTATCTTTTCTGGAAATATTTGGTCGTTTCGCTCGTGATGCCAAACACTCGTCAAAGAAAGTTAAGCTCAAAGCTCGTTGCTGTTAATGGAACTAAACTAAGTGATGGATCCCCTCTTACAAAGCAAGTGCCTTTTGATGTCCTTAAGTGTCATGGTTCAGAATCAAGTAGAGTTGATTATCATGATAGTGTGTCTAGTTATAATTTAATGGCAGATGACGTAGAAAATCTTAGTTAAGATGTAAAGCAAGCAAAGGACGTCATGCCTATGGCACCTTACGTAGGTCTAGAGTTATCAAAGGTTGAATTAAGTTATTTCGATGGACAGCCAGGAGAGTACTGGAAGTTTATAAAGCAGTTTGAAACCTAAGTAGCGTCAAGAGTCATTGATGATAGCCAACGTTTGCTCTATTTGATATACTATTGTAAGGGCAAGACAAAACCGCCATTGAGGGTTCTGTCATGATGGAAGGTTCTGCTGGTTATAAGAGGGCCAGAGAAACTCTAAAACGTTTGTTCGGACAATCGCATGTAATTGCTCGAGAAACCTTGGAAGACTTATTCAATGCTGTAAACTTTGCTAGTACTGACGCGGAGCAGCTATCGAACCTGGCTATTAAAATGGAAAATGGTGCTATGATCTTGGAACAGATGAATTACACTGCTGATCTAAATTCCTTAGTTACTTTAGAAAGAATAGTGAGTCTTTTGTCTCATTCTATGCAAGTTCAGTGGGCGGACTTGGTGGATAAATTGACTGAAGACGATAGAGAACCAACGTTTGACGAGCTCACTAAGTTTATAGCATCTCATGTGAGA